TGCCAGCGTCAATAATTAATTGAATATTTCCTTCTATACTTTTTAGCACGTATCTATTTATTATTAGCATTGTTCTTCCGACGTCTGATTTCTTTTTAATTATAGAAAATGCGTTTTTCTAAGGTACATAAACTTTTGGGATTGACTGTATAGCCAATACATCCTTAAATGAAGGGGGGCGGCGGCGTTTGGATAACGCGAGGCTCGCGCGCGAATTAAATACATGTGTTAATTCTATTTTCATTTTCGAGAAGAAAAAATGCGGAGATAATGGATAAGGGGAAATGCACGACCCACATTTCTTATTTTTCCAACTCGCGTTCCGATAAGTCGAACATTGATTGTGACACGCGATTCCTCAGGTATTTTGGGACGTATCGTTGCCTCGGGGGCAAGAAGAAACGGATACGTTATCGTTTCAAAATGGCTCGATTCCCGCATTTCGATCGAGCTTCGAGGAAAGGTGAAACGCGCGACGAAAAACGATAAGCCACGCCGATAAGCTAATTTCATCGACATTCTTCGAGAACGAAGACCACCGTGTATACGTTAAGTATGGGACCGTTTTAGGACAGAATTTACGTGTTAAAAGATGCGAATTTAATTAACTATTCGAGGATAACGTGACGATTTTCAAACGATCGAACCGTGTTTCACGAGCGATAAACGCGTGAACGGTGATCCGAGGACAGGCGGTCCATCGTATCCAGTGACTCTGTTTTATGTAAACCTGTGTAGAGCACGCGGAGATGAGACCGTCGTTTTATAATCCCTCGAGACCAAAGTCTCCTAAATGGGCAGCTCGTTAATCAAACTCGATTCAATGATGTCTATAGAGCGACGTCTATTTACCTAGAATCCGTCGCGATGCCGAGACATTATTATTGTTTAGCGTACCCGAGTAATTTTACGCTTCTCAGATAAACTATCCCTCACTTTTTCTATCGATCGCGTTAATGTTCAATCTATGAACACCGATAGCGGCGCAATAAGGTAGACTGTCAATGGTACCAAAGAAAATTAGTAAAAAATATGAGAGTACACTTTTTATTCTTATACAGGGTGTTCGCAATTATTTAGAACAGCGTTTGTTTCGTAAACGATAAACACTAGAAGAAAACCGAAGAGTAAGAAGTTGTAGTAAATTATTCAGGCTCGTACGAGGACAGGAATAAAAGAAAATATATTTAACATTTCTTCATGTTGTATTTACTAGTATGTCCTACTAATAAGACTGCATCTCGTGTTCAATGTGATTTCCGTTGAATGTGTAATAATATGTTTTCATTGGTGAAGGTTAATCCTTCAGAGCACGTCAGATGTAACTTTTCTCTTTTTAAAGAGGTACATATTTACGACTCAAAAGTCTTCTCATATAAGGAAAAATAATAGGAAACAATATAAGTAAAAATAGAATTGTATCAACAAATGTTAGAAAAGCTGCGCGGTTACTCTAGCTCCGTACGGTACGACTACGAAAAGTAATGAAGTTATCAAGCGGGAAAAACGCGATGGAATACATCGTTCGATGAAAATAATCAAATTAGAAATTATATGAAGCAAGTACCTTGATCGTTCTGCGTGGTCATCTTAGCTTGTCTTCCTTTCCGTATCTTTTGCTGGCTAATCTTGCCTCCAGAAACTGATCCGACCTGTTCTCCATTAGGTATCCATTTCTCGTCGTTCCACGAATAATCTTGCTGCTGCTGCTGCTGCTGGCACTCGCTCCAATTCGAACAGGAGGAAAGGGAGGAATTCGCCGAGACCGACGAGAGAGACAAACTGTTGGCGCTCGCACGATTGTCTTCCGGCAAGTGACTGTCTAAATACTTCGTTAACTCGGTCAACGTCATCTTCGTACGGTCGACACTCACTGTTCGGCTACCTTAAGCAATGTGACAGGTTCAACGTTTCGCTCAGTACTGCCGCCTAGCTTAAATACGTTGCGAATTTGTAGGTGGTAGCTATCGGTCCCATCGGGGCCTCAACCTTTGGACTAATACCTATCTACCGCCTTTACGAAATCATAAAATCCCTTCCCACCGCAGGATCAGTTTGTCGGCGTGGGGTCTGACCACCCCAATAAATATCGAGGCGTACCGAGGAACTTCGATACAGATAGCCCTTTTCGAAATTTTCCGTGACCTTGTTTCTTCCCGCTAGTTTTCAGAAATCGACAAAAATATACAACGCCATTGGGAATTTTATTAAGATCAACGACGATCCAAGCGGTTTCTGTTCATCGTTGATTGAGCGATACCGAGGCGCAATCTCTAAATATTTTCCTAATTTCTTTTTTAAATTAAAATCTGTTCATTCATTTCTTTTTGCCCTTATGTTTAAAATCATTAAATTTATTTATAGTTCACGCCAAATCAGTTAATTTTATTATTCATACAGAGTATTTATTTATTTCCACTTTTTTCTTTTAGAATTTGTTTTCTGTTAAATTTTTGTTGTCTTTTTATGTTTATAAAAGTTAATAAAGTAATAATAATAATATTAATAATATTTGACTATTACATATTGATATCGTATTCCATAGTTTCGCTAATCGAGAAATTGATCGGTCCTTTTCCTCGGCTCATCTTTTTCTTTCTCTTATGACCATCATTTTATTTTCTTTGTCTATTCCCAGTTTTCCCTTCTCACGTGTAATGAATCAGGCGTTCTCCTTTCCCTTAGCTGCCGCTTCTGTTTTTCCGCATTCGATCGTACACAAAGAGTGTATCATGCGCGTTAATTTACGAGGTTGCTAAAAAGCGCATCTTATCGCTGTTCTTCGACTAATTCTCTTCTTCAAAACAGGTCGAGTTGGTTTATTTTTCTGTGATACTTGCGAAATTCAAATTGTACGTAGCAAAGTGATTAATATGAGGGACATCTTTGGAGACAATAGTCAGGTCAGTTGAAGATTATACGCACGGAGATGCTGAGATCGATAGAGCCTCTTTCCATTATCTTGTCTGAAAGGTATCGGTAATCGCATAGTCACGATTATCCGAGATTCCGCTTTCCCTTTCCGTATTCATTTCGAATCCTCTTCCAGGGAGGATTCCGTATCGTATCCGAAATCGATGATAAAAATCCTTGTACAATCGACGTTACTCTCTGTCCAGTTTTAGAAGATAACTCATCGTGGGTTTAACGGGGTTGGCTTTTGCGCAACGTCAACTAATCCATCTTGCATTCATTGCTACTATGCAAAGTTACGCGACGGTGGGATAAACCAGGGTCGGTAAAAGTCGAGAGACTTTCCTCGCGTAAGACGAAACGTAAACGCCTTATCAAGGTGGTCTCTAATCCCTTCGTTGGATCGCGCACGACAGTCGTCTTCGCTGCGAGTCAACGGTAATTTATGGCGTTTTAACTTCCCTTCGTGAATGCGCAGATTAACGGGGAAATCGTTCTTCGCGTCGATCGGATCGCGATTACGCCAGACTCGATTCAGGTCGAAATATAGGTTAAATACCTGTCTCGATTCTTCTAGCCACCCACGGATTGTTCGATCGATCGTTACGTGCACGTAGTAACGTAGATCAGGAGTTCCCGCGTGTTCGAGTACTCGTTTCTCATTGTTCAGATTTGAATGTATGGGAAATGTCCATTGGTCATGGTATTCAGTTTCGAAGAGAGATTTCACCGATTATTATACTGTACACTTGTAGAATAACTTCCGTTCGAAGGTCATTTAGGTAACTAAGAGGGTAACCGAAGAAGTCAAGTGCGGTGCGCGTACGCACGTGCCTCATTTCGTTAATGCTTAATGACGAGCGAGTTTAGGTTTCGAGCCTGTAAATTATAAGCCTGATGTTTATCGAGCTTCTGTTTCCATTAGATAATTGTGCAAAGGCATTCATGAAATGTGACGTGGCAGATGAACCGATATATTCCGTTTTACGACTCGTTGAAAGTGTATGCATGTTTCTTCCTGTCGAAACTAATATTCTAGCCATATGTAGAACGTATCCACGACGGTATGCTAAGCTATCATTTTTCTGTTCGATTTACGATAGAACGAACACGTTTCGCTCTCGTTACTGCCACAAAAATTTCCAAATTTCTGTTTCGAGTACGGTGAAGCGTGCAATAAATAACGTCCCCTGATAAATATTAAATCGGCAGCAATTTCATGGTAGGGAGAGTCGGCTCCGGAATACGGCGTCGAGTATTCCCGGATTTCGAGATCGACGAGCCGCGCCTCGGTCTTTTGTATAATGTAATCTAGAAGTTTGACAGGGTCTGTCGGTGTGGATTGGCTTCGCGTAGGTGTAGGGGCTAGTCGGCGGGGATGCGAAGAATTTGACGAGAGCGGAAGGGCCGACAGCCATCGGATGAAGGGATTATCTCGAGTATAGAAAAGTAATTACGACCGCCTCGCATCGGCTTGTTTCGCGCGAGCTCCTAACGATTTTTTAATCTTAATCGTTCCGGATTAGTTCTGGCATCGCTCGATTGCTCGGATTAAGAAGAATTTGCGACATCAATTTCGAATAACGCGCACGTGGAATTTTATCGAACATCGAGCAATCCATCGTAACGGAAAAACGGGAATCGGCACGCGTCGCGTCGAGGGAACCTTGTTCGCGGGATGGCATTATACTTCCTCGAAGAGTTGGCTCGACCAGGAGCGACCCCCCTTCTCTGTTCCTTCCACGGGCGCGGGGCTCGTCGCGTAACATATGCTTTTATCTAAATTAAACAGTGTCGGCGCGATTTTCATTTCCTGGCCCGAAGCCGCTGATGTTATCCGCAGGATAGCGCGTCGCGAGCCCGTTGCTAAGGGTCGGGAAAATCCCGCTCCACCCTCGATGCGCCCAGCTGAACCCCCGTCGTCCTTCTTCCTCTCGTCTTCCTTCGCCCTAAACGCGGCCTCGTCGCCTTGCTCGTCTCACTTTACCTATGCTCTCGGCTTCCCTCGCTATCTGGCCGTATTCTAACGCCGAACCTCCGTGTTCCGGCGTCCTGGTTCCTCTTCCTGTGCCATCCTCTCTCCGCTTGGACGCGTTACCTCGTTGCTCAAGAATACGTCCGGGATATCCCGTTTATTACTAGGATTAAGCTCGAGGTTGGGGTTTATGATTTTGTACAGTTTGACGATTTAAAACCTTTTGCATTGCAAACCATTCGGACATTCGTTGTTAATTGCACCGTGGGTCGTATGGGAATCGTACAAATGCCCGAGTCACTATATTCCTTCCCTTAAAGTTAGAGGATTGATGAATAACGGTATCTGCATCGATTCCGTACAAGAAAATCGATCGGTCCGCAGAGCTTCGACCCGAACGAGAACCACATACAGTGTGTTTTTATCGCGCTACCGAATGCCGAACAGATAGAAAAGAAAGACGAGGTTCCGGTCTTATACCGCGGAGGTTAAAGTTTACGGAAAGTTATTCCGATTTTCTTCGTCGCGAGGAGGAAAAGCTAGGCCGTCAACCGGGTTGACGTCTCGTGTCATAGTCACCCTAGTCCCCGTCGATCTTCCTCCACCCTCCTTCCGGCCTCCGCTTTCAAAGATTCTTACCGTTCTGTCATCCTTCGATCGACTTTCCACGAGTTTTCCCCGAACAGGAGGGACCCCTTTTAAGGAAGAAAGTTTACCTCACGGTGGATGTTTATTGGAGCTAGTGGATCACGCGTGTAGAGTTCTTTCGAATTATGCCGATGACTGCGAATTTTTCAGGAGCGAATGAGAAATTTATCTAACGGAATAAAATCCTTTCCGTCGTTGTAAATCCGTCAAACATATATGTCCTTCTAATCAATTCTTATTTCTTATCTTACGATAATATCGACGATGATAATTAAATTTAACAATATATTTCGTTCCGCGTACAGATTGAAATTCTTGCGACTCGAATAAAGGTTGACAGCATCCTCGACGTTGTTACGTTCGTTCTTACATTTTTTCCGTGTCGAAAGAAACGTGTTCGAGGAACCGAAAGTTTCGCATTCGTAGAATTTTTGCTGTCCGCGCCCGGGCGAACCATTTTTCTTTCCCCGCCCCTCTCGTCTCTCCTTCTTGTCCCTCGTCTCCGACGTCGCTCGCGCAAAAAAGTTCGCAATTTTATAACGGAAGTTGGCTGAATACAAAATCAGTGAGGCTGTCACTCTTCACGGCCAACTTGTATCGTGTTTTAATGGAACCGACTCGCCTTCGCGCGTCGGCGAGACACGAGACCGACACCCATCCTCTCTTCGCGAACCGTTCAACTCAAACGTTATTGTAACAAATAGTTATTAATTTGGGTAAGTCTTGCCTTCGTTCGTTCTTCGCTTCGTCAATTCGAATTGTATTTAATGATAAACAATGGGCAGAGTCGGAAGGGATGAAAAAGTTCAAGAGCTTTCAGACAAACTTTTTTGCACAGGCAACGAGGAGACAGCGGGCCAAACGTTAAGTGTACAAAGAAAGACAAACGACAGTTCGATCATTATCGAACTGCATTAACAAGAACCGTCCTTATCTCATTACAGTTGTAGTTGTCGTAACTCGATAATGATCCGCTTTTCGTTTTTGAAAATTGTTACATATTGGTAGAGGTCGACAACTAGAAAAAAAAAGGTATCCCGTGGAACAATGAAGTCAGTTTACAGAGGTGCGCGGTCGAGAAGATGCAATCAACGGGAGAATTTTTCATAATTTATTGCCAATATTCAGGAGCCAAGAAGGCTAAGGTCATTCCTACGAGCCTAAAATCTAACAATGAATGGGGCTGTTCCGAGGTGATACAAATTTTATAACGTAACCAAGTTTATCTATTTGCTTCGAGTCGACCGTTAGTCGATGTCGTACATACCTGTGCTTTACTGTTCACCCCTGATAAACCCAAGTTTAGAAGTTGATGGT